CTCCGTCTTTGAAGGTGTCTTCTGATTTGCACGACTTGTAATTAGGTTCGGCTCTTAGGTTTGCCTCACAGTCGCTGTTCGAACAAAGCCGTAGACGGGGCAGATAACAATTTTGTTAGGGCTTGAAGTCGGTCTTGTTTGCACGCACACTGAGAAAAAAGCAGCACGTTAGTGAGCTACATCGTTCTAGGCCCGCAGGCCGGAAGAACAACTGACTAACATCTGGAAGAACATTATGTTTTATATTTCTTGTTAGATATAAAAGGAAATTTCTATTAAACTGGCGTTGAGGAGGAGCAGGTCCTCTCGCCGCAACACAAGATCCAATCACATACAATGTGTGAACATAACGAAGAAAGCGTGAGTGTTGTGTGGCGCATGGTGTGTCTCTACCTCTCATCCTTATCAGACCTGTGTCTGCCCGGTTGGCACTTTCTGGTTTTCCCTCTGACCTTGCACTCCTCAACCAGTGACTCCCTAAATGAGCACTGGGAAAACGCCTTTGATTATCAAAGGATGGATGGTAGATTGCCAAAACATTTCTGGATTGACTTATAGTCTTGTCTATAAATTGTCAAAGAAATATGGCTGCAACGTACTCTGTAATTACTCCCAAATCACAACAACATTCTTTGCTCTTGCTGGTGAACAGTACATGTACACGGATACAATTATTTTAACTTCAAATGTTTTTTTGAAGTAGTTGAAATGTATTGTCAGTCATTACGTGATACGCCTACTACCATTACCTGAAGTGATTGAGTATCGGTTAATCAATTAACTGTTTTAACTTTCACAGACTGAAGCGTTAAGGAACAATATATGAAAAATGGTGATGTAGAAGAAGTAATGAAGAGCCATGTCGTTATCTTGGAAACATATCAACTTGGCTCAAAGTTGCAGGAATAAAGCCTGTCTTTAAGTCTTAAAATGTTATATATTTACTATATATATTATATATTTACCTTTAAGGGTTTAAGGATATTAATAAGATTAATTCAAGTTTCACGCAAAAAAAGACCATTCTTACAAATATTGACTTTCAATTAATTCAATCCTCTGGACCAGAAAAATTAATTTTCAAGCATTAGAGATTGTTATTCCGGACAATTAACCGATATCTGACAAGTGTTTTGGGAAGCAATGAGTCAAATTTGTATCCAGATGACACACATGCACACACTCAACCAGAAAGCATCTGGTTTGAGGCAGCATTACGTGAAGTACAACGCTCATTTTACTTTTCTTTTTGATTCTTTATTTCCTTTTTTTTTTTTTTTTACAAGCAACACAATGTGTTCATTATTCACACCCATGTGCTTATTATTAGACATAAAAAGTATAGCTTGGGTATGAATTTAAATATAATTTACGTTGAGTTGCCCGTTCATAGATAAATTGTAATGTGCCCTTGAAGTGCACGGACATCTCCATACACTCAGATCGCACCTTTGCATGTGTGCTGTAAAAATGTAAATCATCCAGCCAGTTAGAGACATGTCCCACACCCTGAACTGGCATCACGCCCACTGAGACACACCGGTTGTTTTCCACTTCACCCAGACACCAGGAAGCATCAATCAGTCAACAATAATTACAGTGAGATGCTGCCAACATTCACAGAGCTTCATACCAAGCAAGTCCACTTCATAAAAATACATTTGATCACACTAGTAAATAAGTGAAAATAACATGAAAATAATGCAAATTTAGAGTTTCCCGAATACACAATATTGTGTTTGTGCGAGTGAGCATATCCTGCGGTGGAGTTGGAAGTTATGTTGTTGAGCCACAGCAAACACAATGACGTCACGTGTTCTCATTCAGATTTACTGACACAATAGGACGAGTACAGAATGACTATGTATCAATCAATCTATAATAACAGCTTGTAGCTTGTTAGAGGAAAGTTATGAGAAACATGTCTGTTACGTGTCTGAAAACACAATTTCCAGATGTGCGCGCACACACACACACACACACTTTATGAACAACAGAGGAGCTGCCAAAAGCTTTTCTCATGCTAGAAGTCATAAATCTGTCCATCCTTACTTAACCCTTAGGAAAGGGAGACATTCTGACGCCAAGGCCCGTGTGACCAACGCACACCTACGCTTACGAGTGCGCTGAGAAAAACATGACTGCACGCAAGCGTGCGCTGACTCAGACATGCCAATGGGCATAGGTGCACCATTTCAACTTTGCATTCAATTACTTCCAGAATGCAAAAAAAAATGTACCAGGGTGTTAAATGATTTATTTGTTTATGGCTGGATAATCATTCTGGAATCAGCTTTTTGTCCATTTGCCTTTGGGATAAGAAGGACCATTTTAAAACAAAACCTACGACGGGGCGAATTGCAGATTGGATCAATGTGAGCACTCACATGTTATTATGACCCCCTTACTTTTACATCCAAATCAAAGGCATTTTGCTCTTCTCTCAGTCGGAGTTTGCAGGTAAGAGATTGAAGAGAAGAGATGCAAACTTCCAAAACTGAAAGTGCACGGCGTTAAATATACAAAGTAAACCCTACTGCCTGTTAAAAGCTCGTCATTTCTCTTGAGGCCTGAATACGTCTAAAGTGCTTGTATTTGATTGATTTGATAACTCTTCATTTACTTCTTGGTGGCAGTTGTTTGACATTAGTTTTCGCATGAATTTATCAAGTGCACCGGCTGTATTGACCTTTTTGTTTTCTTTCAAAAGATGGAAGGTGCAGTAAATTGACTAAAAATAAGCTGCATTAATCAAAATATGTCTGGAATTATAATTTCTGCTGAATAAAGAATAAAGCACTTTAGTAAAGTATTTTGATTTTATGTCCCTCCTACTTTAAAATGGGAAACATTGATTGAAATATTGACACTAATAGTTCATTATTTTCACAAATGAACCTACACAACTTTAAAATAGGATATTGTTATCTATTTATCTTTCGATAAAACATGATAAAAAAATGTCCTTTGAAAACTTGCTCATGCTTTTAGTGTTGCTCATACTTTCACTTAATTTTTACCTTTCAGTATTTCAATGTTTCCCACGGATGGTATATGACGACATCTAGTGGCAGCAGCTAGAAAACAAGGATTTCTTACAATTTCTACACATAATGAATTTCCGTTCGTATTTCGGTTTCTGCAAATCCTAAATTGATTTTACAGTTGTAGAGCCCCAATGTCTTTTTATACAAATAGGATCACTAAAAGTTAGATGTAACTTTTTTGAGGATTATCGACAACGTATATTATCTCTATATTTATACATTTTAACGTTAATCGCTGGAAAAGAACTTTTATTATGTGCGGTATAGTTATCTAGAAGAAATGATAGCCACCTCTGTCAGCACGCACCTCCCATCACCGCCATCACACAATCAACCAGGCAACAACCCTTCTTCAGACCGACCCCGTTGCCTAGCAACGCATGGCCGAGTGGCCCAGGGGGCGGGACCAACGCACTTGGCTTCCGCAGTAATTACAGTGCATGTCTGTGTGACTGGGCCAGTCCAGGTGTGTATGTGCATGTGCATGTGCATGTGAGTGTGCGTGTTCGTGTGCGTGTGCATGTGCATGTGCGTGTGCATGTGCGTGTGTAGTTTGGCTATGAAATCACACATAATACTACAACATAATAATACTAAAACTCTTATGACCAAAAAGAAACCAAAGAACTTTCGTATTATCAGGCCGGCAGTTGCAGCCACGTTCAATAGTTATTCAGTATCTGATGAAGAAGAGTCAGATTATAAACTTTAAAGTTTATGTTGCAGCATGACTACACCATTACACACAGTGAGACCAGGTAACCAATCCATTAATGAGTAATATATGCATCAAGTTTCATTGTGGATAAGAGCGTCTAAAGGTTGAAATCCAATTTGGACCTCACCGTTTAACATATTTTGCAGTATAAAATATTGAAACCTATACCGATGAACAGCTTTCCATTGTATTCTGACTTGTTTTAATGAGTGCATCTTAGACAGACATTGCCACTGTGGCACAGCATTGCTCTGGCTGACAGCCTAAATCAGCTTAAATATTTCCCTTGTGTGCCGTGGGCATATCCTCAGTTGGTTGCCCACTAATGATGTTTTCTGCTTGGTGAACCAGCACTTTGACTCCACTTGGTCCCAGTCGCTCCTTGCTCACGGAGGGGTTTTCCTGGAGGAAAGGAAGAACTATGCAGGGGAAACCCCTTCCTGTGACCATACCATTGGTCAACATGGAGCCTCGTTGGATGAATTTAACATATAAATATACCTTTGGGAGATTGAAGGAGGTTTTTTTTTGCACAACGTTAGGGTCCTGACTTGTGTTCCAAAACAGGACACATCTGTGTGATTGGAGCTGCTGCAATACAAATAAAAGCAGCAGAGCTCTCTGCTTTGCTCCCCAGGTAAATAGCCAATTTGTTGAGTGGTAGTAGTCCTTTTCAAACTTCACTTTCGTAATATGATATGAAGGAATTATGCAATATCAATGGAAGCCTAAAGGCCTAATCTGCTGTTCGGCCCTCTGGGGTCAGCCAATCTGAGGTCGGTCACTAAACCCTAAGACGGGAGTCACATGTTCATTTCCTTTACATATTTACAATTGTTTCATCCTTGTAAGGTTCATCGACATGGGTAGGAGGTATTTCAGCGCATAGGCACAATCGTGACATTACTCAAAAAACAGCTTTCCACATCTCATGAAATTAAACTACGCTTCTGTTCCGCAGCTCCTTCTTTTCTACCAGAGCTGTCATCTTGTGACACCAGCGCACACAGTGGAAACAAGCACACACGCCCCGCCCCCTCCCCTCTTGCCTGAAAGCACACTAGTCCCCGCCCTTCCCTCTCTCCGTCACAGCAACGTGACCGCCCAGCCGCCGTCGCGGAGCATCACGGGAGCTGTAGTCCCAGCCGCCCGATGAAGCCGGAGAAGGCGAGGCCTCAGCAAAATACAACTCCCATCTCGACCCTCGCACGCCGAGTCCCGTCGACCAATCTGAATATGTGGGAGGAGCGCGTCCGCCCACAAAAGCCACGGCTTTCTCCCCCCGTATCGTCCCCTCAAAAAAACCAATTGTACATGGCGTAAAAAAAAAAAAAGAGGTGGAATAGGCGTAAAATACAAAAACACCGGTGAAGGTTTGTTTTTGTTTTTTTCGGTTGCGCGAGAGGACGACGACGAGGCGTCCCCCGTCCACCCCCCCGCGGCGGGAGAGAAACAGCGGCGACGGAGAGAGGGTGTTGTCCTGATGCTTAAATGGAAGTGGGTGGGCCTCCGCGGTCACACACTGACAACTTCTCCGTGGACGTTACCGTGACGAGCGCCAATTTGCTGGTTTATGGACAGGCTGTCCGGTAAAAGGGACACGCGACCTGGGCGGCGAGGAGGAGGAGGAGGGAGGGAGGGGGGGGCGGACGCGGCCCCGGTGACGTTCACCGCGACCTCCGTTATCTCCGTTAGTCGGGAGCTGCTTGATTGCGCCGCGCGCTTTGGCACCGCCCTTCCTGGCCGGTGGGTGGGTTTGTTTTCTATTTTTTTTCCCTATTTCGTCAAACGGGCAGATCCGCCGCGGCCCCCACGGTGCCGAAGACATAGGCCGTCCTCCGCCTCCTCTGCACCCCGGCCGGCCTTCTACCGTGAACTACACCCTCTCGGTATATTAATGCGTTATGAGTGGTAGGTACCCTCCTCCTCCTCCCCCCACACCACCATGTCTCTCCTTCTCCGCCTCCCTCTCTCTCTCCTTCTGACAGATAGGAGGCTCTCAGTGCCTTTGATATGGATGATGAGGTTACTGGTTTCTACTTTACCTTTATTGATCCTCCTTGCTGTTATCTGCAATATTATCAGATTGTTTTTTAATGTGTGTGTGTGTGTGAGTGTTTTTTTTTTTAGCCAACTTAGTGTCTACAGGAGGGGGGACTTCTGAGGTTACTCAGAAATGCTATTTTAACTTAAGATATTCTTTGATTTTCTGTCTCTTTTTGCCAGACTCCAAGAAGGAATCATTGGGAACCGAAGGAGGAAAAGCATCTAAGAAGGGGAGAAGTTCTGGATCGCAGGTAAAAGAAAATGAAAAAGTGCTTATAATACTTTATTACTTTTGCTTTGCCTGTTAAGGCCAAACACGTACTCCCTCCCTCCCTCCTCCCGGCCAGACACCTCTGGCTGGGGGCGTTTCTCTGCTGAATTCCACTTCCTGCTTCTGTACAGTGCTGCTGAGAGGCAGACCTGAAGCTTGTTGAATAGGCTCATACGGCTGTCACAGCCCCAGTACTTTTCAATTGTCTGTTTGAGTTAAGGTCAAAATGATTTAATTCTGCATTTGGAATAATTATAAAGACCCGCAGCGTTGGTATGTGGCTCTCGTATCTGCTTTTGATGGGTTGTATATGCTTGATATATTTCAACCAGGCAGTTATTCTTCAGGGCATCTTCTGTTGTTAAGCGCGTACGACAAGCGCTGTTGCTGTTTTGTCCCACGTTGTTGTACTTGTTACAGAGCCTAGGCCGCGTCCGAGGTGTATAGCATAAGAAAACTGCCTGCGACCTAGTTCCTTTGAACAGGAGGAGGAGAGAGAGAGGGAGAAGGCAGCATTTTACTTACCAGCGTTCTGAGAAAAGAGAAATGTGGTTATCACCCGCCTACCCACTCACTTCCTGTAATACCGCCCACTTCCACTGACAGCTCTCTCTCTCTCTCTCTCTGAGCTTTTTGTTTATCACTGGCACCGTGTTATCTCCTCATCCGCGTTTCTTATTTTCGTAGTGTGCACCGCTTAATGTTGCCCATCCGTTCTCGGTCGCTGTTTTATTTTTTTTTAACTTGCATTTGTGCACATGTGCTTTGGGTTTACCTTCTTCCCTCCAGACTCCCGTTAAACCGTTCCACTCTCTGCCCTTCCCCACAATCCGTTTTTTTAACCCCACCCCGTCTCCTTCAGGATTCCTCGCAGCCCTCTCCGTTGGCTCTGCTGGCGGCCACCTGCAGTAAGATCGGAGGGCAGGGGGGAGCGGAGGGGGCCCAGGCCCAGGTGGGGGCCCAGCAGTTCCAGGTCGGTCAGATCCAGCTGCAGCCAGGTCAGCTCCAGGGACAGATATTGTTGGACACATCTGGAGGTCAGACCCTGGTGCCCCAGCAGCTGGAACTGGTCCCAGCTCAGTTCACGGGGAACGGCTGGCAGATCCTTACAGCAGCACCTACTATGGCCAAAGAGAACACCAATCAGCCTGTTGCTGTGACAGTGGCCACCACCTTGGCTAATGACAGCTCACCGGGTGGACGCAAGGTGAAGGGAGTGGGGCAATTAGTGGCTTTCATCTATTTTTGTTCGCCAACGTTTGTGATCTTTACCGTATCGCTGCTCTGTTCCCGGCAGGTGAAAACATTGGGTGGAACCAACTGCGTGGCCTCCAACCAGCAGCAGTTCCAGATCATCCAGGTCCAGAACCTGCCAAATGCCGGGGGCGGGGTCCAGTATCAGGTCATCCCTCACCTGCAGACGGCAGATGGGCAGCAGATCCACATCAGCCCACATCAGACAGCCTCCATCGGGACTGTACAGGAGCAGGTCCAGCTCATCCAGACCCAGAGCTCCGGCCAGACCCAGGCTATCCTCCAGCCAGCCAACCAGCAAGCCATCCTGACGAGTACAGCCAACCAGACGGTGCCGCTGCAGATCCGCCCTGCCCAGTCGTTCCCGCTGCAGCTGCAGGCTCTGCAGGGCTCCCAGACTCCTGTTATGACCACGGTTCCCATAAACCTTGGTGGCATGACCCTGGCTTTGCCGGTGATAAATAATGTTGGAGGGGGCGGGACCGTGCAGCTTATCCAATCAGCAGATGGCACATTCTCTGTTGCCAATGGCAACCAGCTGATGACAACAGCAGCCCCTGCCACAGCGACGAGTGGCTCGGCGGTGGTAGCCGAAGGTGACAGCATGTCTGATGTGACGCATGTGGTTTCGGTTGGATCAGAGGGTGGACCAGCTGACAGCCAAGTACAGAGCAGCGAGGCCGACTCTCAAAGCCAGAGCCAGGCCAACGGTCTACAGAACCAGATTGATTCAGCCGGAACCATTCAGCAAGTGATAGTGGGACAAATGGGGCACCAGCTGGTGCAGCAGATCCATCTGCAGCCTCAGAGTCAGGCCCAAGTGCAACAGCAACCTCAGCACATTCAGACCATCCAGCTGGCCCCAGGACAAACCCTGCAGCCCATCCAGGCCTTCCAGAACCAAGCCCAGGTCCTCATCCGTACTCCAACCCTCTCCCCGTCAGGGCAGATCACCTGGCAGACACTGCAGCTCCCCGGCGGCGTCTCCCTGCAGGGCGGCCTCGGGGCAGCAATGCCACAGCAGCTGACGCTGGCCCCCATGGCCGGTGGGACGACAGTGGGGAGTGGAGGGCTGGTGTCCCTGAGTGGATCTCCCCTGACGCTGAGCGCAGCCCAGATCAACCCGGGGTCCGGAGTACAGACAGTCAGCATCGCGGGGCTCGGCACCGCTGGCGTTCAGGTGCAGGGTGTTCCCCTCACTATTACCGGTCTACAGGGTAAGACCTTAGGGAGAGTAACTGTGTGAAGTCGTTGTGGCTAATCCATCACTGTTACATTTATTATCAGAAACAAAAATAGGGTATAAGCAATGAGGTCGGCCATTGTTAGAATTTGAAGCTCTAAAGAATCGTGTTATTCTGCCGCAGCGCTCGCCCATTCAAATTGTGACATGTTTTGGATCTGTTTTTTCTTTCTGCTTTCTACAGTGTCATATTTTCTCCAGACTTAAGTTCAAACTTTTTTTTTTAAATATTCAAATCACCTTTAGGTCAACCACAGGGTCAAGATGGGGTCAAAGTTCAATCGTCTCCAGTCACAGTCACTGTCGGCAATGTGGCATCGGGCTCATCCATGAGTCCGGATCAGCTGGGCTCAGTGCAAAGTTCCTCGGACCAGGAAGGGCCGCCCAGCAAGAGGCTTCGTCGCGTCGCCTGCTCTTGTCCGAACTGCCGGGACGGAGAGGGAAGGTACGGAAACATTAGAAACACAGAGCTCCACAAACACTGGGGTGAAACATGTGGCCAGATGTAGAATAAAGGGCTTTGTCTATTTGAAATTAGTCATGAATATAGTGGAGTAGTTGACAAGGAAGCTTTTGGACACTTGGTTTGGCAGATGGTCAGAACACAGTGTAGCTCGTTGCCTGAAGCGAGAGTTCTGACCTCTCGCCAGCCAACATTTCACTTTGTAATGACGAGCCTTCACCCCAAAAATAAACTGAGAATATTCAGGGAAATGTATTCAGCTTTACTAGAATAATCAGAGCACCCAATCTAAGCTGAGTTTGTCTAGTGAACATTTATCTTCGCTTTGGGTTTTGGAGATTACTTCTAGACACGGTGCAGGTTAACTGGGTTCTGAAAGCTTTTATGAAGCACACGCACATACCACCTCTAGCCGCTCCTAACTCCAGTGTGGGATTTGTAGGAACAGCGGTGACCCCACGAAGAAGAAGCAGCACATCTGCCACATGGAGGGATGTGGGAAGGTGTACGGCAAGACATCTCACCTGAGGGCTCACCTGCGCTGGCACACCGGCGAGAGGCCGTTCGTCTGTAACTGGATCTTCTGCGGCAAGAGGTTCACCAGGAGCGACGAGCTGCAGAGACACCGGAGAACACACACAGGTAGGACGAACCGCTGCAGGGACGTGGGTCACCCTGGTGCCCTTGGAAGGCCATTGGGGGATGGCGACGGGGCGGACCGCCTCTCGTAATTAATGCAAACGAGGGCTGCAACGGATGATGTATCCGCAATTAATCTTAGGTGGAGAAAAGTTTAAAAGAAGGCAACTTCCCAAATCGTTTGACTAGCAAACCCAAATGAATCCAAAATGATTTTTCTTCTGCAGGCATGAAAATCCCTCACCTTTCGGCGAAATTTGCCGTTTTTGAAACCGAAATAGGTGACCTACGTGAATCATGTAGATCCGTTGAGTTTTTTTGGGGTGGGTATGGCGGGCGGCAAATCACTGTCAAAATTCGAGAGCGCGAGCAAAAGTCCCGTCTCGCGCAAGATATTTGCTCGCTCGCCGGAGCGTGAACTTCGTTGCTCACGAGGTTAAGGCCGGCGCATGCTTCTGCGCATGCTTCTCTCGTTTCAATTTATGCTTCTAAAAGTCTTGCGTGTGTTGCAGAGCAATTCACCGCCAGAACAACAGGCGGAGTAACGTGTTTTTGTTGAAGACGACCTAGAGAGTCACATCTATTTATTTATTTGTTTATTTATTTATCATAGACTTTATTGCCCCGTGCATCGCCACTGCTGCTTTTCATCGCGGACACATTTGTCCCGTATTTGCCTCCACAACTTTGTGCACCGCTCGACCGGCAAACCGGCGTTTGGCCCGGGTGATGCATTCATACATTTCCTCACTGAAGAAAGGGGATAGAAAGTCAAAATTCTGAGATAAAATGTAAAACGGCACCTCTCTGTAACGGTAGTGGACCGTAGATCAGTGGTCCCCAACCACCGGGCCGCGGACCGGTACCGGTCCGTGGGCCGTTTGGTACTGGGCCGCACCACAGAAAGCTTATATATATTTTTTTTCTGAAAGATGTTTTATTTTGCTTTTCTACTAATTATGTGCGCTCGTCCCTCTGACATATTCCCTACGCGTCACCAGGCGTTTTTCTTGTCCTTTTACCGTGCACGGCAGTTTCGCCGACCAGCGAACACAGAGCGTGCGACTACTACCCGGCCCCCGTCGGTCGGACGAAGAAATTACACTGACTCGTGCTACAGGCGGAATATGCCTGTTAGGGGGCGTGGCGACGCCGGTTAGTGATCTACCCTGATAACTGCACATATCAAGTGTTATAGGCAGAATATCTGTGGGGGGGGGCGTGGTGGTTACAAACACGCACGAGCGTGCGTGCAGGCACGTCAGTGGGCCGCAAATTACTTTCTATTCAGAATGGTGGTCCCTGGGATGAAACCAGTTGAAAACCTCTGCCCTAGAAGGGTAATATCCTTCTCACCTTTTTCACTCTTGACCCGTTTTCATGCCTGCTTCTGAGTGACTAGTTGTTCCACCGTTCCAATTTCAATTATCTTGTTAACATCTCAACCATCCTAACTACTACTCATGTCTTTATATATAAATAAAAGAAGGCAGATTTTATTCATCAACAGAGAAATTCAATTCTTTGGATTCTCCCCTCTAGGAGAAAAGCGTTTCGAGTGTCCCGAATGCTCCAAGCGCTTCATGCGCAGCGACCACCTCTCCAAGCACATCAAGACCCACCAGAACAAGAAGGCCGGCGCCGCCGTGGCAATCATCACCACTGACGACATGGAGGACGACGCCCCCGAGGGCATGGACGCCTCCCCCCAGATTGTCGCTGTGGCAACCCTCTCACGTGACTCTGACCCTGCTACGCCCACCACATCTAATCACATGGAGGAGGAAGAGGAGGACGGGGGGGAGTTTCAATAAGCAACTGACTCCTGTTTGCCGAAGGCCTACTTCCTGTCTTTTTGGGAGTCTTTGCAGGGACTGGAGGGGGGGTGACTACTTTTTCTTTAAAAAAAAAAAAAAATCCTTTAATTTGACATTTAAAAAATGTTCTCTCATGAAAAAGGGACTCAAAAGAGACGTGATCATGCGATTAACAGAAAATGAATAATATAAACATCACAATCTAAAAATAACTAACATAGTAATAATAACAAATTTAGCATAAACAAATGAAGGATTAGTTTGGCATTTATAAAATTCATTTATACTAATTCTATTCACAGTGGGGAAAGGAATGCAAAAAGTGTCTAGATTAGCACAAGAGTAGCCTGCTGAATCTGAAACCATCCAACACGGAGGGACGTTTCCTTAAATCGCAACAGAATCTAACTCTATGCACAAAGTGTTTGTGTTCCTGTTTCATACCTGGGCTGAGAGTCAATCATGGTACAGGACTGTTGCGGAGCAGCGATAGAGCAGGGGCAGTCTGGGATTGTGTGTGCGTGTGTGTGTGTGTGTATGACCTCTGTGAACAAGTGTGTGTGTGTGTGTCTGAATTCCCTCGCTGTTACAAAGAGGATCTACCTAATTTGAGTTATATTCATGGTTCAGGTTTAGTCCTCAGACCAGATTCAGGTGTTGATTCCTCCGAGACCAGTCTACGGATAAACTGTTATTGAAGAGAAGGAAATTCTAAAAAAAATAAAATAAAAAAAAGTAGAAAAAAGCACATAAAAAGATTTATAAATAATGCATTCCTATTGAGGCACAGTGGCCATTAGACAAAAAAAGGTTTCTATAGAGAAAAACAATCTAGCTTTCTACAACTTTGTTTGTGTGGTGAAAGCAATACTATAATGACAATCCCAGTGAAACCATGTTTACATTGTCAGGGGAAGTTCTCTGTTGATAAAACAAGCCAGAGTAGTGAGAACATGTGAGAGCTGCTGCTCTGCAGATACCACAGGGTGGCTTCTAACATCACGGCCAGAGTCTATCCGATGCCCGTTTGTCTATAGAATTTTTCTAGAATACATTTCCACCAGGTGGTACCTGCCGGACGGAACGACAGTGTGCCCGATGTTGCTCATGCGCCCCACTGTGCTCCGGTGCCCCCACCATCCCCCCACCCCTCTGGGCCTCCGTCGCCGCTACGTGACCGATGTGCCGCCATTGCCTTAACACAAGCTGTCGCACGGAGGGAACCTTCGGAGCTGGCTGGGGGGAGAACGAGGGGGGAGCTCCGCTGCATCGTAGCCGGGGAGAGACGGAGAGCACAGGAGGCGGGTGCAGGGGGAGGAGGGGGGGGCAAGAGGGTCGGGCTGCTTCGCTGTGTGGATATTACGGGATGTTTTCTGGTGGTGTTGCTCTGTGTTAGTTAAGTGCGTACATTCCTTTCAAAATTGAATGATGCTTTTATTTTATAGAATTCATCGGTTGTTTCCCCACACAGCCCACTGTGTACGGCTAATTTATTATTTATCCTTGAGTTGTACTATTTGCCTTCTGCTGGACTTGTATTTGTGTGTATTGATTCTGAGGTTGTGTACAGCATGTTTGAGTTTTTTGCCGTAGTGCTGCTTCTCTCTTCTTTAATCTTTGTGCTTCGTTTTTTCTTTTTTCTACGTCTGACCATTGCTGTTTTTTTCTTCTTCTTCTCTTTGCGCCATAATGTTTTTTGGGAGGAAAATAACAAAAGAAGAAGAAAGCAAAAAAAAGTTACAATTCTTTAAAGTTGAAAAGGTTGATACCAAACGAATTTAGATGTTTTTGGTAATATTTTGTGTGATGACCAACTTTCTTTCTTTGATATTTTGTAGTGACATCTCATATGTAAATCTTTTTCTAAAAAGATGTTTGTCTCCATAACATTTGATAATGGGTTTTTGCCAGGTTAGCCTCAAAGGCCTAAGTTTATTGATATTTTTAAAACTGGTTTGTACAAATGTGTTATGTCAATAAAATTTAAAAAAAATAGAAGAACAACTTTAAGCAGAAAAGATGCTTTGCCTAATTAACACTTGACAATAAAGTGATTAAAACGGTCGTAATTTCATTGCTGATGCTCTGGTATGTATCTGCACACTTTGACTTTAAAATCAAACACACAATCTCTACAACTTCTGCCACCGAATTATTACCGGCTAATCTGTGTTGTGTTGTGGGTGCAAACAATTACTGCTCCCAGTTAGCGATCTCGCCTTTGTTGACTGAATTGATGTGAGGATCAAACCTGTGACTATTCTAATGCTGCTCACAAACACGCCGCTGCTTTTACGGAGTTATTTTTCTTGGTTTAAACGGATAATTAGCTAATTAACCGTCTATTTCGGAACTCCCGCCCCCCAGTGTTACTCTGCTGTGATCAAAGTGGGACTTCTGGGAGTTTACCAGCAGGTCACACCTTCACTGCCAGTATACAAAAAGAATCAAGTATTAGGCAGCAAACCTCTGACGAGTCCCACTTTTGAAGAACTTCAAAAAACACCCAACGTCTACATCCTCGCTCTGCACCCTCGGGCAATTTTGTGGATTTGTCAAAAGCTCAAATTAGTGTAATGCAGTGAATTCCAAAAGTTCACCGCAGTGACGAGGACCAATATTGTCGTTTTGACCCCCCCCCCGCAGTAAAAACAGGACCCGTCTTCTCGATCTGGCACGCTGCACTCACAGCGACCTCAGGGTGACCCCTGACTGCGCCGTGACCCTCCCGCCCTGCATCGATGCTGCTTGGTCATTACACCGAGGTCAGCTGAACTGGAGCTGACCCCTCCCACCCGAGGCGTGTAGCAAGCACACAAACCCAATTGGCAACCTATCAGAAAACTGTGGGGTGTGTGGGCCCCCCCCCCCCCCCCCCCAAAATGCACGATGAAGTGAACATGGCTGATCATTTACAGAATGATGTTTATTAGAATTTACAGTGGACTGAGACCTACAATGCTGTCCCAGTCAGCCACTTTAAAGTAGTCGGTGCGTAAAAAGATGGTATATGAAAAATCCATCCATACCTCGCATTTGTTTAACAGTTGAAATAATCAGAACAAAAAATGTACAACTCAACCGAGTGCTGACCTAAAAACAAGAAGAAAAAAAAAAACTCCCAGGGTGTATAAAACATTAACAATGTATGTGCCTGGTGTTAAAGTGGCATAAAAACAACAACTTTGTCTTCTTGCTGTTCATAATCAGCTATAAAAGGTTGATCTAAAAATGTGCTTTTGGAATGAGTTCCACAGTACTGTGCAGCACGACAGCCTGCTTCCATCTTCCATCAGCAGGAGCGGCTTCTTCTCTCTGGACTTCACAGCAGATCCCTCTGAATGCTGCAATGGAGACAAAACAGTAACGTGAGCAGCTGAGATCTCGTCGTGGCCACAACTCATCGTCACTCTTACTTAGAATTGTATGTTTACGCTTCAAAACCCCAAAAACATCAACGATGATCAACAACCCTCGCCGCTTGTATTGGATGGATTAATGCCTCTCTGACCAACAGTTTCAAAACGAACCCATCACTTAACATGATAAGCGACGTACCTCTCCAGGTACTCGTGGACGTTGCCGTGGCCGTTGTAGCGGGCCAGTCCCACCAGGATGCCGGTGGCACAGCGGCCCTCCTTCTTACGGCACAGACTGCAGTTACACATATCTCTGCAGATGGGGCACGACCACGTCTGTGGGAGAAAAGGTCCACGTCTTCAACATTTTCAAATCACCTGCTTTCGCTTATTCTGGGAATGAACACTCAACAGGGTTTTTTTGTGATTCGTATTGGTTGCTAAGTCATGAATTTCCCTGTGATAACACATTGTGCCCAGTGGTTTGAATGAAAGCCAAATGCTCCCCAGAGCAAAAAGACAAGGAGAGCATTCAAACGGGGACCTAAAAACAAACTATGGCCTCTGAGACCAATGAGCACAATGTAAATATGTAACAGAAAAATATATAGAATCGAAAGGAAAAACCTTTCACACACACAAGTGAACATGCTAATCAATGTAAGGTTACATTCACATTCTTTTGCTTTCATTTACAAGTAATTGTGCATAAGTTTCTCTAGGGGGGGCTCTTTGTTTGGCTGAGCAATGTAAGCCCACATCTCGTATATTATTCTCAGTATTCTCTTGTTGAATACTCAGTTCAGCTTTGGATCAAAACAAAAGGTGGACGTGGATGAGTTCCAATGTTTTCCAGATAAGATTCAAGGTGCTTGAAAAGAAAATATGAAAACGTTTCAATAACGGGACGACTGAAAATGAACCTGAAAGCCTTTGAGATTCTCTTTTAAATATATTATTTAAAAACAATAACAGGAAGGCAAACCCCTGATAAACATGAATATTATCTTGCTGTGTAAAATTAAGCCTGATATACATTTTAAGGGAGAACTCTTTGAAACACCAGACACATCAAAACAAAGGCCTGTAAACAAAAATAAAAATCCCTTTGTTGTGAATTGTAGTCTTACGACATACCCTGTTATATATTATTTACTTGTAATGTTCCCTTAAGCTTTTATATATTTAGTAATGGGATCAAAAATCATGAAGACAAATGTTTTTTTTCATTTGTAACTTGCACATGGCGAGTTGACGCGCGTGTTCGCACTGACCGGGTCGAGCAGCACATCGCGGACCTCCTCTCCGTAGCGGTTCTTCAGGCACGGCCCGCAGAACTGACCTTTGCCCCCCACACAGAAGCCGCTGCGACAAACCGTCTTGGTGTCCAGAGTCTTCTGTCGGCACTGGTGGCACGAGCTGCCCTGGAGCAACGGATGAAATGAAACGACACACAGTGAAGAAAGCAGCCGACCCAGAAACGCAGTGGAGTACAGAGCCGAGGCCAAGAGACGGGTGAAAGCCCGATGTGACTCACTGTGTCCTTGTCCCAGATCTTGTCTTTGCTGCGGTGAGCTATGTTGTCCAGGTCTTCTTGGGTGATGTCGTCAACTGACCTCACCGCATAGTGGCTCCTGCGGGAGCCGCGGCTCCGCCTCCTCCTCTTCCCACCCACCTCCTCGTCCACCTGCCCAATCACAACCAGCAGAATGAGAATAGTTGTGTTCAAGTCTCGTCATCATCTTATTTTTCAGATATTGAATTTGTAGAATGTCTGCTCGGATTAAAGTTAAGTATAAAAGTATGCATTCAGAATGTTACTTTAGTAAAAGTATTAGCATCCAAGGTTTTCATTGCATAATTATTTGTTGTATTTTTTATCAATAATCTGAATCTCCAAAGTAGCCAATAACTAATATTGTCAAATAAACATACATACAAACAAACGTAAAAAGGAACAATATTCGACTGAAATATAGTGGACTGTATAATATAATGGAGTGTTCTTCATAGAACCAGCCTCTTCATTTATTCAACAGATGCATTGAACTTGCATGTGGGGGGGGGGGGGGGTCGTACCTCCACCAGTCTCCTGATGTCCACCATCCTGGGGTTTCTGATGGCGAGTGGCTCGCTCTTCTCCACGCCAAAGTTCTCAGGAGGACGAGCTTTACGAGACGGGTTCCTCCTTTCAGACCCCATCTCTGGTTCCAACTTGCGTTTCCGTGGCAACGCTTTCTCCGATGCCCGCTTCTTTTTCTTAAATAAAACATAACAATATGAAAATGTTTAAAAACATGTCCCACACAGGTTCTATCATTTATAATTACAGCTTCTTTTTTTCTGTTGAAAAAACGGAGTCAGAGGACAAACATGAACACATATAAAAATATCTTTAATGATGAAGTTGTTGATTGTACCATGCGTCTTTAATCTCAAACACTCAAAAAATGTAATCTACATTATACACAGTTTTGTACACAAGGTGACCAAATATTTAATTACTGGCAACTTCTCGTTAATTGGTTCTACGTAATCAACATATTTCCACATTATTGTATCGTTGCATTCATTTTTTGTAATGTCTTAAACTTAAAATAAGACATCCTTTAAAATTGGATTAAAGACAATTTAGCACCTTTTGTGTCGATTCGAATATTTCTCATTGTTGTGTTTTGTGTTTCTTTTTAGCCAATGTGGGGAAATGTATTGTGGCCTAGCTGAGGTTATAGTTAGTAGTAATAGTACTCACTGGAGGGGTGGTGGGCACAGTGAGGTCAGCCATGGTGCTCAGATCAGCAAACAGCTTGGCCAGCTGAAAGGCAGCAGCAGAGAGGAGTGAAGGACATGCGACAAAGAGAATGTGGAGAAAACACCCAAAGGTTGTTGGTTCATTACCATGGCCTTGTTTTCCTGGATGTTTTTGTCTCGTTTCCGAAGGCTCTGAGACAGGACCTCCTCCTCTTCATCTTCCTCCTCTTCCTCTTCTTCATCCTGCTGCTGCGGCTTCATCCTTTGCCTTCCTCTGGCTCTCTGTGAAGGAGGAGTTTCTTTGACTGGCTTTTTGGCATTTTTCTCTTTTAGTTCCCGTTTGTGGGTAGACAATCTTTTGACAGGAAACCTGAGGGACAAGATTAAAATAAGAATCACCACATCTATCATCTGGGCCCTTGGATAACTGGCCAATACGATAAATAACATAGAAAACTAGGACGAATCTATAGAGAATTAACCTTTTTTTAAAGGCCAAATCATAATGATTAGTCCCTCTATTTCTGGCTGATCAGGATTTGCACCATCAAAGGTGACACGAGTAATTAACCTCACAAGTAGATAGAGAAGGACCCAAAGCCAAACCTTGCCTAGTCAAGACTAAAAACTAGATTTAGGAAGTGGACATTGTTGCTGTGAAGCCACCCATTAGTGTGCAGCCTGCTGTTTTAAAGCCTGGAGTTCACCGTTCTGGACATCGCCATTTTAGAAAATGTTAAAACGCACTTTCGCATTGGCTTCACTTCCTTTGGTAAAAGACATGTTCATGCTGCATTTTAGGTTTTTGTATCATCATCATCATCATAACAGTGCAGACGTTGCAATCACCTGTAAAAGTTTTTAAAAAACTACCCACATGCTTATTGGGCAGTTGACGCACACATACACACAAACACACACCTCAGGGCGACTAAAAGACTCCTCCTCTTTGGCGGGGGGGCTCCCTCATCATCAGAGTAGAAGCCCGTGTCAAAGTCGCTGTTCTCATATGAATCCAGCTGGAGGAAGAAAAAAAAAACAAGAATAAAGAGCATTTAGTCTGGAGCTCATTCAGCTTCAGTGTGTCACACACACGTTCTTCAAATAACAACGGCAACAATAATCATTTCATACCTTGGCATTTCGCCGCGTGTAAAAAGATCTCCGGTCCTCTTCTTCCTCGTCCTCGCTGAAACCTTCAAAGTCCTCCTCGCTGTCCGACTGGCTGAACAGACGAGCCAGCTCAGCAGTGATGAACTTGGATTTGAAGCACGGAGCCTGTCGGCACACATGTTGTATCATAGTTAGTGTTGTTGTTGTCCTTTGAAAGAAAGCCCCAAAGTATAATTCAGATACAGTCGCAAACCAGATGGAGCACAATTCCTCCAGTGCAACAACATCGGCCTCACTGAGGAAACGCTGAATTTAGTACGACTCCTTCAACGCACAACTTGCCACTACCAGCCCGACGGACATCGAAGTTAACTTTTCCTGTAGAGTCTATGTTCGGAATTACCCAAACCTGAGGACGTCCTCGTCACTGCCGGCCCGGAAATCTTCTCAGCCACGACAACGTGGGGTGGAAAAGGAACACACACTTAATCCTTGTACTCTGTCGACATTGGCTTCACTTCCTCATAGTTTAGGGTCCAAAAGACCCTAATGCAGCACGTGTGATAGATTTATAATGGAACATATAATCACGTTAAGATGTGTTATACATTATATGGGCAGTGCATGTATACATATCTAATTTTTTATATTCTGATGGTAAAGGTCACCAAACACAACATGAGGAATAAGTAGTCACATATATTGTAATAGGCTTGGAATCTTTGCAAGTGAAACTGTATTTTTTTTATCGGGTGAAACAATCAGGCTGTGTCTGATGCATTTCTGCATGCATCTGCATATCTTCTGCATATCTGATGAACCATTGCCTCCAGAGTTTGGGGGGGTGTTGACCTCTGACCTTGCAGCAGGGCGACCATTGAACACCGTTTCACTTTGACCATCTGCCCAAAATAGAAACAGCAAACGTGAACAATGGCGTGAAGCTGCTCATGTGTGGGCCGGCTGGTCAAAACAAAGACGTAAGCATAACCAGCATTGCAGGATGTCTGTGTTGCAGGCCGAACAAGCTAACGCTAACACTAAAGCAGAAAAACACATTTTTTCGAAGAACGATACGAATGAACTACGATTCAAGCCCCGGTTCTTATCGACTTTTCTTTGTGACAAAACCGCAACGTGGAGCTACATTTAGACGTACTGTTCTGCCACTTACCTTTGACGCGAGTGTCATTTTTATCTCCCTTTATCGGTAAATTTCCCTTCCACAGAAACTTTTGTCTAATACAAAAGCTATAGAGCAGCGGTGGGTTTAAAAATGAATAACAGGAGAATAACGGTCGTTGCAAAAGTGGGGGATTTCATTATTGGCCCTGTGCATTAATGTTTAGTTAAGTCCAATACTTGGACTTTGGAGGCTCTAATTAAAGCCGAGCAATGTTTAGAAAAGTCACAACTGCCTCACACTTATCAATAAAGAGATTTCTGTCCATCTTTAGAGGAAGTCTCTCTTAACAACCCCCCTCTTACTGCAAATGGAGCAGTCCGCCGTTCGCGCGAAAAAGGTAAATGGGCGTGGTTATATCTGCCACTATAATAACGGCACATTAATCAAGTTACAGAGAATAAATCCGTTGGGTCTGTTTCTTTCTTTGAAATATAGATACAAACAATTGTGTACTATTAACCAACTTAATGACAGCTTCCTGAAAAGATGAAGCATTCATAAAATAGACACAAAAATACGTTTCGCAGTGGTGGAATCTAACTATGGATGTAAATTCAATTTTGATGAAGGCTACTTTTATGTACTTCATTTCCAGGTTATGCAGGTTCAACACCACTTCATATGCAAATGCAATATATACATCCTACTCCATTGTATTTATATATTTAAGAGTTTATAGTTCTAAGTCTACTGGAATTTTAAGATTTTACATCTTATTCTGCCGCTTAAGAAATACGTTTGCTTACAATACTTCAGTTATCTCATGATACAAACCTTTTTAAAAATGTTTACTTGTATTTTCGTATTTGTACATTATAGTCATCATTATATATTGACTAAATTATCTAAATATTTGTTCTACCACTGATTTCAGGGATTGCCCAGCATCGAGGTAGCAGTTTGGGCTTTGAGAGCATTTCTAACATGAATTTTGAAAACAAAAATATATCCAAGAGATAATATAGCTAAAGCCAGAGAAATGGAGCCACAGCCTGTGAACTCTTTTTTTTTTAAGCCTGGCCCTGACCCAAATACTCTTTGTCACTTGTTTTAATTTACAAGGGCACTCAGCCAGATTGTCAATTAAACACCACCTGCATCAACGCCTATGTAATCGGGTTGTCTCACACACCTTCATTACTACATGCACTACTGTTGTTGAGTTGTCAGAAGGCTGCTGGGTAAAATACACGTCAGGGTGACTGTAAAATAATAGGGCTTAGCAGCTTCAGGAAACCATACTGCAACACCCGGGGCGCTAAACACCTCCGACCAATTACTGACTGCTTACCACAGTTCATGCCAGCTGGAATCAGCGGAGGGGAGACAGAGGCAGCTGTTTACGCAACTAGAAAGTCTTTATATTAAAGTCCACAATTAGTCTTTCAGATTGAAAATGTTCTCCTCTCAATCTCTTCCTCCCGCTGTCCTCATTTCCTTTCACTGCTCCCTTCCTCTTGTGTCCTTCTCCAACAATAACCGTCTTCTGGTTTTGGGTCATTTCGATTTAAACTTTTAATAATAATGTGAGTGTTTGGTCTGTTGGCATTAGTCAACAGTACAGAGAAGGATCATGTGTGTGATCATCTCACGACATAATCTTATAATGGTATTTTATGGCGTTGTGAGTAGATTGAGGACAAGTTGGTCAGTAGTCTGGTTTCTCCCTTTGTTGCTTGATGTCATTTTGCTGTTGTGTCTAGACAGTTATCTTTCTTGCTGAAACAAGAGTCACGTGATACTATATATCACATGGCAGTGATACTGTATATTCAGAAAAGTCCCAATACAGAGAGATATTTTAAGCATTTCCTCTTCAGTTTTGATACTGATGTTGTTATAGGTTGATCAAAATTGATTATGGTTTTGTAGATTTTTTTAGATGTGCATATAAAATGAACTAAGTGGTTATACTTATGTCAAACCATGAAAGCTGTGTTGTTCCCAGATTTAACACACACACACACACACACACACACACACACACACAAACACGCAGTGGATGATAGACAGTTGGAGCAGAAATTCAAAACACCTAAAAATATATATTTACACTATTGCCGTATAAAGATTCCAATTTTTAATTGTGATTTATCGCTAAAATTAATTTAATAAAATCAAAGCTATTTGTCACTGCAGGGCTTCAACGTTTTATCTAGTTTGTTTAAAAAAAAACAAAGGCACCTTTTGAGGTTTTCAGGTGAGGCGAACAACCTGAATAAAGATCTACAATCCAGCGTGTGTATATAAAATGACACGACAGTAGTGGTTATTCATAACTTTGCTCTCATCAACTCTGCTGCCTGGAAGAGATTCAGAATGAAAAGCGATCTCTACCGATCTCCATTTATCCGGCGTGCAGGTGAGCCGTTGCAGCAGTATAAGGCCCACCTCCCAAATGCTCTCATTGGTTAAGATGCGTGATGACGCCTCTCCCAAGACAATACTGATAAACATTGCACCCTGTCTGTGATCCGTGGTGTGTCTGTATATTTATATTCATAGCCAGTGGACAATGGATCTCACACACACAAAATGATATTTCATAAAAAAATGTTGCCGCATTTCAGTTAACGTGTTGATGCAATAACAACGCTTAACATGCCTAACTCTAATTTACACAAAACCTGTGGAGTGTAACATCATTTTCATAGTATCAGTATTTATTTTGTTATGTTTTTGTTATTTTGTTATGTTGTGTTATTTTGTTGACATTGAGGATTATTGAAGTGACTAAAAAAGCTCATATTTATAAGCTACATTTTACTAGAATATCAAAAATGTGTCTGTGGTGGAAATTTGTGGGAATTCAAAAGTATTTTGAAGTCGCTGTGTGATTATTATTAACTAGAATATAGAAAAATCATAAAGAATACAGAAATCATCAACACAAGCGTTAAGTACAGATTGTTCCCTCTCCTTCAGAGGAGCAGGAAGAGCAGACAAAGCTTCTTGGTGTAGGAGAAGCTTTAATACACTTCTGAGAGGTTTGTGTGGTCCAATCAGAAGGTTGCAGATTAAGGGAATTTCAGTTGGAGACCCAGATGTCGTAGAAAAAACACCTTGTCCCTCCCTTAACGTCACCCAGGCAATAATTTGCTAACAGACAGAAGGAAAAGCGTACATCGGTTCCAGCTGTAATAACAGAGTTTAGGTCACAGGTTTCCCAACAAGGTCACATTCTGAGAAACCCACAATGTGCAGATCAAAGATTCTCCCCCAACAGTGTTGAAACAATGTGATCAACAAGAGTTTAATTTGTGAATATCCAACATTAATCAAAATATACATACAAATACATACATTAATCTATACACACACACAAGTGACTATTCATGTCTTTATTGTAGAGGCCAAAATGCATGTCAACAGTACAACAAGTGAACAATGACCAGGTTCAATCAGACATGTAGAACATCTCAGTTCAGCTTAGACGAGATGCACAAACAAAGGGAACATTATAAGAACAGAAGTGGTCGTTCCATTTCTTGTAGGAAAAGTTGGTTTCGACACAGCGCTGTCTTCCATCGTAGTTGTTTGGCTGTCCTTGGGCCCAGTAGGTAAAGTCAACTTTTGATCCATCAGACCACATCCATGCGCTTTCTTTGTGACAGTCACTCAGTCCAATCCAGGTGCGTCCCTCAGCAGGGTCGGAGTTCTTGATCAGGGTTTTGACAAAAGTCTGTTCTTGTTCACTGTGGATTGACACCAAATTGGCTCCATGTGACACACAATGGATCTCTGCATCGGCCCAGGACATCCCTGTGGCAAAGTACTTGTAGCAGCGGCCGTTGAAGCTGGACCACGACGTGGGACAATCGGTCTGCTCTGGCATAATTGGAGCGACATCAGAAGGAGGCGCGGCACCCACAGCCAGACCCAGACCCAACAAGAAGAGCATCAGGAGCAGGCTGGTGTCTCTTTAGGAGTTGATCTGCAACGTTGGACGAGATCGAGAAAAACTAGTGAGACGAATGTCTCTGCTTTCTTATATAGGATCCAGATTGGGTGTTTTCACTGTCGCCACGATGTCATTGGTCAGGCCAAAATGTATGTCACAACCAGTGAACAGTGACCAGGTTCAATCAGCTGAACAAACAGGCTCACCTGGAGATTTCACATCAGAAATATGATCCTAATCCTAATACCAACAACTAACTTTGTTAGTTTGCTCTAAATCAAAATGAGATTTAAACTTAAAAACAGTGTGAGTTCAGTGGTGAGCGTGTAGAAAAGTTTTATCGACATTATCAAATAATCACACACTGTGGTGTTCCTGTCATTGCAACAGTTGTGGTGTCCCCATGTCTATCTGACACGCATGCTGGATGGAAAAACCTGCACTTGGTAAACACTTTGTACACAACTTCTGATCATAAGCCAAAGAAAGACAAGCTCACTCAGAGATGTCACACAAAGCCTGTAATTTATTAATTTCAGTCAAAGCATTATATAACTCTGCTTTAGAAGAGACATGTGGCTTCAGGTGTTAGACGATAGAGCACATCGTTGCTTTGTGACTGACTATTTTTTCATTTACAACTGATAGATAACAGATCAAACATGAACATATACTGTATTTACACATCAGCAATATTACAATAGTACAAAGCCTTTAATTTGTGCAAGACAGAATACAGCTGGCTATGAAATAGTTATTTCTTAAAAGGGTCTGTTACACGACTCCACAGTATTTATGAAGACTTATGTAACTTTTGTCTCTGAAGAGTTCTCATTTCTATATTATAATTTGTGATGTAAAAACATATTGAAAAAAGTAACATGGAAGGTGTGAGGAGCGTTTGGATGGTAAATAAAAAAAAGAAAGCCAATCATTTGTGAATTAAGTTTGCTCTTTAGAACAAATCCTTTCATTTTGACGTCTCATTGGGAAACTAAATGACTCTTTATATTACAGTGATTTAGGTCCATTGATCCTGAAAAATAAAAAGGATTTACAAGTACGACCTGTTATCATTTGACGGCGGATAAGTACTCACTTGGACTGTAATTACTGTTTTATAAATAGGTTTTTGCAACGCAGACTGACTCAAAATCTGTGGGTTTGTTATCGAAACACTCAATTTGATCAACAAGAGTTCCATTTGTGAGTAGCCAACATTAATCAAAACAAAGTTTACACACACACCGATACACACAAGTGACCATCTGTGTTTTTATTGTAGAGGCCAAAATGCTTGTAAACAGAACAACAAGTGAACAATGACCAGGTTCAATCAGACATGTAGAACATCTCAGTTCCTAAGGACAGCTTAGACGAGATGCACAAACAAAGGGAAGATTAGAATAACAGATCCCGTCGTTCCATTTCTTCAAGCCGAGATAGTTGGTATGGACACAGTTCTCGTTTCCGATGTTGTCTGGCTGTTCTTTGTCCCAATATGTAAAGTCGATTCTCGATCCATCAGACCACATCCATGCGCCTTCTTTGTGAGTGTCACTCAGTCCAGTCCAGGTGTGTCCCTCAGCAGGGTCAGAGTTCCTGATCAGGATTTTGATGAACGACTGTTCTTCCAGACTGTGGATTGACGCCAGGTTGGTTCCAAGTGACACACAATAGATCTCTGCATCGGCCCAGGACATCTGTGTGGCAACGTACTTGTAGCAGCGGCCGTTGAAGCTGTACCAGAACATGGGACACTGGCCCCGTTGTAGTTGAAATGGAGGGTCATCAGAAGGACACACGGCCCCCAGAGCCAGACCCAACAAGAAGAGCAACAGGAGCATGCTGGTGTCTCTTTAGGAGTTGATCTGCAACGTTGGACGAGATCGAGAAAATTAATGAGACCAATGTCTCTGCTTTCTTTTATAAGATCCAGATTGGGTGTTTTCACTGTCGCCACAATGTCATTGGTCAGCTGAACTTGGCGAACACTTTCAGATAGCACACAGTATCTGGATAGAAGCCAAAATAAATCAACAGCCTCACCTGGAGATTTTACATAAAATGGTGATCCATTTTATTATTTAGGTTATTGTTTTGAATTCTCTCTGCAATAAAGGCCTCAAACATCATACTTTATTACAGTCAATCCTCCACAGAGCCTGAAGGAGACAATGTTTTAAAAAGTATATCTATGTCTGTATGTTTGCTGCTTACTACACCAGTCTTTACTGCTGTTTCTGTTACACAAACACGTAATACCAACTTTGTGTTGCTTTAACCCCAAATGAGATTTATTGTTCATTATAGATTATTTGTGCTGCTGGATAGTTTACTTTTATTTGCAACAGATGTGCTGTTCTCATATCTATTCAACACACATAGACTGGAGCAGGTAAGGAAATCAACGAAAACCACATTTTAATTACATTTTCGGGGAAAATTGTTTCTAATGTACCACAAATACATTTCAAATCACGTTCGCTTTTCCAATAGCACTTTTGGCCCCAGCAAGTCAAACAACGCATCGCTTCCATTTCCAGCTTTCGGGCATCCAGTCGTTCGTTTTAGTCTGCCTCCCAGTGAGGAACCATGTCATCAGACTGGCTTCACCCAAAGTCTCCGTTAACTTATTCTAAATCATGTCTGCAACTGAAATGAATCATTATACTTGGTTTTGGGTTTCTTCAATTTACAACATTAACCGTCTGTTAAACACTACCACCAATATGTACACGATGAAATGGCTTTTTCTTGGAAACGTAGAGTACCAGTCAAAGGTTTGGACACACTTCATTGAATTGATTGATAAATGCAGTTTAGTTGTGTGGGAACTGTCATGGTGTGAGGTTATTTTCTGTTTTATTTTGTATTTCCCTGCCCCTCGTGTCCTTGAGTTCGCTTCCCTTCCTCCCCTGGTGTGTCTTTCCCTCCCTATTGATGGTCTGCATGGTCCCCAATTGTTCCTTCTTGAGTCCGATCACCTGCACACTCTCAGTGTATTTAAGCCGTGTGTGTCCTTTGTCTCATTGTCGGTTTGTCTAATTTCCTACGTGATTGCTGTCCCTCAGTGTCACAATTTTTCTGATAATTCAGCCTATTTTACCCCAACAACTAAACAAGCTTTATGCTGCTCAAACTCAAAACAGAGTGAATTCATTAGTGTAGAAAATGTTGAGTTTTAATCTACTTGAATATTTACTGTGGTGTTCCTGTCATTGGAACAGGTGTGATGTTCCCATATTTATCTGACACACATACTGGAAGTGGAAAAACCTGCACTTGGTCAACACTTTTCCTTGTACACGTGTACACAACTTCTGATCAAAAGACAAAGAAAGACAAACTCACTCACATGTCACACAAAACTTTAATTCATTACAGTCAAATGTGGACATAATAAAATGCTGCTTTAGAAAAGACACGTGGCTTTAGCTGTCAGAGGATAGAACACAAGGGGAGACATTTTGGTATTTGACTATTTTTTCATTTACAACTGATAACTAACAGACATGAACATACACTGTATTTACACATCAGCAATATTACAATAGTACAAATCCTTCAATGTGCCCGAGACAGAATACAGCTGCTTATAAAATTGTTATCTCTTAAAAGTGTCTGTAACGCAACTCTACAGTAGTTATGCTGCTAGACTCATATAACTCATTGTCTCTGAAGAGTTCTCATTTCTGTATTAGAGTTTGCGATATAGAAGCAATTGTAAAAAAATATCACGTAATATGGAAGGTGTGAGTAGTGTTTGGATAGTAAAAAAAGACAATAATTTGTGAATTAAGTTTGCTTTTTGGTTCAAATGCTGTTATTTTGACACTTCGATCCTCATTTGGAAACTTCAACTCTTGAGACTACAGCGCTGTAGGTTTGTCCATTTATCCTGAAAAAGAAAAAAGATTTACAGTCCAAACCACGTGCGTCCCTCAGCAGGGTCGAAGTTCTTGATCAGGGTTTTTACAAACACCTGTTCTTGTAGACTGTGCATTGACACCAGATTGGCTCCAAGTGACACACAATGGATCTCTGCATCAATCCAGGACGTGAAGCAACGTACTTGTAGCAGCGGCCGTTGAAGCTGTACCAGAACATGGGACACTGGCCCCGCTGTAGTTGAAATGGAGGGTCATCAGAAGGACACACGGCCCCCAGAGCCAGACCCAACAAGAAGAGCAACAGGAGCATGCTGGTGTCTCTTTAGGAGTTGATCTGTTGATCTCCCGTTGGACGGGATCGAGAAAATTAATGAGACCAATGTCTCTGCTTTCTTTTATAAGATCCAGATTGGGTGTTTTCACTGTCGCCACGATGTCATTGGTCAGCTGAACTTGGCGAACACTTTCAGATCGCACACAGTATCTGGATATAAGCCAAAATAAACCAGCAGGTCACCTGGAGATTTCACATAAAAACAATGCTCTATTTTATTATTTATCTAGATTTTGGTTTCGAATTCTCTCTGCTGTGAAGGCCTCAAACATCAGACTTTATTGCAGTTCATCCTCCACAGAGCCTGAGGATGAACCTCGGAGGGAGAGAATATTTTAAAAAGTATATGTCTCTATGTGTGTTGTTTACTACACCAGTCTTTACTGCTGTTTCTGTTACACAAACACGTTATACTAACTTTGTGTTCCTCAAACTCTAAATGAGATGTAATATTCATTAGAGATTGTTTGTGTTCCTTATTAGAAATAGTGCTGCTGGATAGTTTACTTTTGTTTGCAACAGATGTGCTGTTCTCATATCCATCCAACTCACAGAAACAGGAAAGGATCTTTATCTGTAGAATACAATATGTATGTATTGCGGTTTTATTCTTTTAGACAAAAAGAAATATTCATTCTTGATTAATGTAAAAAAAAAAAATGTCAGGGTCCATGTTAAATCAGGCACCATGGGTAAGGCGTCAGGTTTAAGCCTGAAAGAAGAACGAACGTGATCAAAATTTGAAGCCCGTTTGGGGATATCAGGAAGAATTCAGCCGAACAACTTCTCTCGTTCTGGTAGATTTATTTGTCAGATCACAGGTGAAGTATCAGCGCTATGGCCAGAAGAACAACTGACTAACATCAGGAAGAACATTTAGTTTTGAACAGGCGATAGATCACAGCGGCGGAGGCCAGGGGTGAATCCATCCAAAGGTCCTGTTCATTGAGCATTTCGACCAGGAGAGGACGCTGCTCTCTAACTCATGAAGGGACAGAAAGAAACTGCCTGTGCAGAAAGTCTTTGTCTGACAGTAACGGAAACAAGACGTAAAACAGAAAATTTACAGTTCAACCAGTTGGTCTAGTAACCTGGCCTTTTTAAATGCCACATTGCTTTTCGTCTTTTCTTTTCGTCATTTATCCTAAAAGCGGCTAATGTTTCCTCTTTTCTCCCTTTACTGTTGTCTGCAGATGGCCTTACCAGTGTCTAAAAGAGATTGTGGGAAGGGCTGAGAATGTTCACGTCTGTTGCAAGTGGCGATTGTGGTGAAGCTTAATTCTGTAAAATAGGTTTAAATGAGAGTCAGAGAGGACTAAAGTTTAGATCCTCGTAGATATCTGGAGCTTTAGTGTCTGCAAGTCTAGACACTCAACACTGGGATAAAGTGGTTAATTAACATTTTGATTACAAGAGAAGTAAATGAACTAACAAGTATGTTTAGCCTTCAGGTGCATATTGACCACGCCTTAATGCCGATTATTTTAAACAAATGAAACAGAAAAAAGGAAAGTCAGACACACTTAGTTATATGCATTTAATGCAATTAAATCACCTGACGTTCCTGGTGATAAATCAGGAAATTGCTTGACTTTATGAGTGAAAGTGGAATTTAGAATAACCAGCAGTTCACTGGTTTCATCTGGAGGAGGAGCAGACACAGTCTGGCCTTTACTGACACACGTTACTGACACATACTGAAACTAAAATCATTTCGGTTTAGACTTATTTGAAAATTTGTAGTTTATTCTATTATAGCTGAATAGGAAGGAACTGACTAGGAAAAACCTTTAAAAATCATAATAGATTTCAATGTCATTAAAATATATATTTGATCTTTCTCCGTCCCAGAGAGTACAGATTTAAAAGCTAACACTGCACTGTCCCTGATATATACAATAACTGCAGCTGTTTATTGATTTTAGAGAGACCAGTTATCTCAAAGAAAATCATGCTGCAGGTGTTCATTGTCAAATTGAACAAATAAAAGCACAAAAACAGGTTTTCTTCGAGCTAACTGCACTTGGCGCGTGCATTTTGTGTATGTGGAGGCTCATCTTACAAAACTGTGTGCGTCTGACAGGATTGCTAGAAATGAGAGAGTGCAGCTTGGTGAATATGGCTTGTGACTGGAGCAGCATGCGAGGCCGCGTGGTCACCAAGCTGGCGTTTAGACTGCAGAGCACAGGAAGCAAGTCGACTGGACTGACCCTCCCTTCATCGCTGTAAATAAGAAAAGAAAGGTCTGATCAGAGCGAGAGGGAGAGAGAGAGAGAGAGAGAGAGAGGAGCCTTTAGTTAAAGAAATGAGAAAAAACAGAATGAGAAATATAGAGCGAGGGAATGAGGAGGAGACAGAGAGAGACAGGGAGGGGAGCGAGAACAGGAGAGACGACGTGGCAGGAGGTTTTGTCCGATGTAGACCTTGGACGGGATGATAGGAATCTGGGTTCATCTGAGGATGTGTGCAGGAAGAAAGCTCGGCATAACCCTCCATGAGTGTGCTGCAACTAAACAGTCATTAACTTTCAAACGCTTATAACTGCTGTTTGCAGTTTACCTGAGGGGACTTTTTGCATCATGCAATTTTCAATATCAATTTGATGCCACATCACACAGCATTAAATGTAGTCTAATATTTGACTAAAGTAACATTCAAGGTTTTGCATATGTATCAAATC